ACGACGACGACGCTCACGTCACCCGAGAGAAGCCCCCTCACTGAGTAGGGGTGAGGGAAGGAGGGAACAGGCAGTGTTCTCGTACAGCTGATATCATGGTTATAGACACGGGCGAGCTGAAATGTGTTGAAGCGTTATGAATGCCATGTCGTCACGGTTGGTTCGTTCAAGTGAGGAAGAATGAGACTGACGACGCGGTGGAGTGGTGGCGCTGTCGGTAGTGAAGAATGGGCGGGTTACGAATAAAAAGGTGCAGGCAGTCAGGGGGTGCTGTGCTCGGGGAAAGTGTGGCGGTCTGTCACTTACGGTTGCAGGTCACTAGCAGTGCCTACAGGTACCGGTAGGTAGGTACAGGGAATGCCTGTTCGGGCGGGCGAGGGAGGGCGGTTACGTACCCAAGACCCTCGGGGGGAGGGGGGCATGGACGTCAGTCAACCTGGGCGGGAAACCTCCAACTATCCACTTCACTGCATTCAGCTCCAGTCCCACCTCTGCTCTGCACTGAACTGCTCTGCTCTGCTCTGGTGCAGCTGCAACGTAACTAACTGACTGCATCGTTTCCTCCTTCCGTCAACCTGTCTGTTCTCCCTCCAACGAAGCACCCACCCAACCCCGATCTCGAACTCTCACGAATCCAACCTCAACCCGCCCCTTCGTCTGTCTCTCGAACCTGGCTGATGCCTCCGCAACTCTACCTCAACCTGCTCTAACGCCAGAGATCGTTTGTTCCGTTGGGAGACGGCAACGTTGTTCCGGCCCTGTCCCTCTCCTCCCTCACCCCTCCTCCGGCCGCCAACCCACCAACCCACCAACCCACCAACCCACCAACCCGGCGAGACTAGACTCGACCTGACCTTACCTTGCCTCGCCCCATCTCGCGATCCCCGTCCCGTTCCGCGTGAACCGAACCTTCGTTCTTCAGTTCTTTCGCAGCAGCATAACCCCGCGACATGACAAGCTGAGTGCAACGGCTCCAGGATGTTCACTCTATCCAGCCTCGTCCAGAAGGCCCAGCAGTTCGTCGACCCGACCCAGGGCCTGAACCTGACCAATTCCGACAAGAACCCGTCCAAGTCGTCGCTGTTCCAGAACCAGTTTCGCCTTCCCAGCACCCAGACGCCGCTGTACGAGATCAATGCCGAGCTGACCATCCCACCCGCCACCGCCACCTATGGAGGAAAGGACCACGATCGAGGCTACCACTATGCCGGCAAGCTGCATCTCTCCGAGAGCTATATGTGCTTCTCCACCACCCCCTCCAGCTTCGTCCAGTCCGCCAGCACCTCGACCAGTTCTGCCTTTACTGGCCAGACACATGGTGGAGGACCGAGCGGGAATGGCTTCACCTTCCCCCTCTGTGCCATCCGGCGCGTCGAGAGGCTGAACAGCCAGACTTTTCAGGTTCGTCAGCTTGATTTTGCATCCCCCCGCCGTGACCTTGCCAGCGGTCTGACCCCGAACTGACATGCTATTCCGCCACCTAGTTTGCCTTGGCCATCACCACATGGAACGGCATCGCTCAGCAAAAGGACAAGGACAAGGACAAGGAGGCCGCGCCCGATAAGGAAAAGAAGGACGGTCGGGAGCAGAGGATCACGGTACACCTGGCCGGCACTCGGCAGTCCTGCGAGCGATTCTGCGACGGCCTGAAGAAGGGACTCCGCGCCGGCGTAGGCAACGTGAGCAAGTACAAAAAGGTTGTCGGCGAGTGCTACTCCGAGTACCTCCTCCGGTCCGACGACAAGAAGAATGCGAGCCCACCCGACGCCGGCCTGGGCATGATGTTCCGCTACCCTGGCGACCCGAAAAAGCTGCGCGACCGGGCCAAGATGCGTCTCTGGGCCGAATACCTGCGCGATAACGGCCGGAACATGACGCTCATCCGCCAGCCCACCTTTCATAAGCTCATCCGCGTCGGTCTGCCCAACCGCCTGAGAGGCGAGACCTGGGAGTTGACCTCGGGCTCCATCTACCTCCGCCTCGAGCATCCTACTCTATACGCAGAGACCTTGGCCAAGTACGAAGGTCAAGAGTCTCTGGCCATTGACGAAATCGAAAAGGACCTGAACCGAAGTCTTCCAGAGTATCCCGGCTTCCAAAGCGAAGAGGGCATTGGTCGGCTCCGACGCGTGCTTACGGCCTACAGCTGGGTGAACCCTGACGTCGGCTACTGCCAGGCCATGAACATTGTCGTCGCGGCGCTGCTCATCTACATGTCCGAGACGCAAGCCTTCTTCCTTTTGTCGTCACTTTGCGACAGGTTGGTCCCGGGTTACTACTCGACAACCATGTACGGAACGCTGCTGGATCAGAAGGTGTTTGAATCGCTCGTCGAGAAGACGATGCCCATCCTGTGGGAGCATTTGGTCAAGAGCGATGTTCAACTTTCTGTGGTATCGCTGCCCTGGTTCCTATCACTGTACATCAACTCCATGCCTCTCGTCTTCGCCTTCAGAGTCCTAGATGTCTTCTTCGTTGAAGGGCCCAAGGTCCTGTTCCAGATAGGCCTCGCCATTCTAAGGATCAACGGCGAAGAGCTGCTGGATGCCACAGACGACGGCGCCTTCATCTCGATCCTCAAGGGCTACTTTGCTCGTCTCGACGAGTCGGCGCACCCCAAGTCGGAAAACCCGAAGCTGCGTGCTGTTACAAAGTTCCAAGAGTTGATGGTTGTGGCGTTCAAGGAATTTTCCGGCATCACCCACAGCAGCATCACCGAGTCGCGATTGAAGAACAAAGACGCCGTCCTCAGCAACATCGAGAGCTTTGCAAAGAGGACGGCTCTCCGAAACCTGGGCCCCGACAGCAAGCTTCTTGCGCCAGAAGAACTGGGCGCCCTTTACGATCGCTTCTACACCATCCTGTACGAAAGACAGCAACGCGAGAGCATTATCCAGCAAGAGAAGCAGCGTCGCGCAAAGAACGCACGGCCCAGGGCTCGTGATGTTTTCGAAGTAAACGACGAGCACGTCGAGAAGGGGCGTGTGGCACTGGGGGCCAGCACGAGCATGATGGACTATGATGCTTTTAGAGAATTCCTCGCCAACATGGCCAAGTGGGCCATCTCCGACTCGCCCACCACGCCGCGACGAGATACCTTTTCAGACAGGGACAGAAACGCCTACACGAGCCGGCGGCAGAATAACGGCCTCCTGTCTCCATGGGGTTCCAGCCCAGAGCCCGCCGATCACGAGTTCATGCAACGGCTCTTCAAGAAATGGGACGTCAGCGGCACGGGCGCGTTGACGCTGGCCGACGTCGTTTCAGGGTTTGCCCGAATCAAAGGCAAGAAGGACATCATGGGCACCATCACCTACTTCTTTGAGTTGTACGACGACGACGGCGACGGCAAGGTTGATCGCGAGGGTATCCTGCGTATTTCCGAGGCCCTGTTGTTCTTGTCGAGACGAGGGCTCGAGGGGACTCTGAGCCCGAGCGCCTCTACCATCACCCTCACCTTGCCAAATGGCCAGGGTGGTGGCCCTGAGCCCAGCCTTCCCGGCATTTCGACCAATGAGAGGTTCCTGGGCAGCGTCAGCGCATTCATCAGAAGATGCTTCGAGTACGCCGACCCTGACCACCCGAACAACAAGATCCACGAGGAAGAAAAGCACAAGGCTGCAGACAACAACGAGGCCTTTGCTATCGGTGACGACGAGGATGAGGAAGAGGAAGATCTCCTCACCATGGACTCGCCGACGGCCAGCCCCTCGACGGCGACGAAGCCGTTGTCAGAATCACCAGTGTCACCGACCGAGGAGGAGAAGAAGAAGGCCCCCGTCGCAGGCCAACGACGTGTCTCCAAAGCACAATCGGAAGCGGCAAATGCCGCGCTGGACCCGGCCAACCCTCTTCACATGACGCTGCCCACGTTCCGAATGGTTGTCCTCGCCGACGAGCTTCTCGAACAATTCTTCGAGTCCTCTTTTCCCATCTCCTTCCATCTCATCGAGGGTCTGCCATCCGTATCGACGCCTAACTCGACGCTCACGACCTTCTCCAGTCTAAACTTTGGACGCGCCCCAGTTGCCGCTTTGAACCCTGCTGCCCAGGGAGCCACTCGTGGCCTTCGCGGAGTGCTGGACAATATTGTCACGGACGGCATGCGCGTCGCGGCGGAAGTCCGCAGGAGGATGGACGAAGCACAGAAGGAGCTGGAGAAGAATGCCGCGCCCGGTCAAAAGGACGAGGAGGAGGAGGACGACGCAGACATTGGAGTCGAAATCGGCATCAGAAGAGGCACAGCGGGTGCGAGCGCGGACATTGAAAGACGCAGTGTCCGGAGTGAGGACCGAGATCTGCTTGATGGGGCAGACGCCGAGGCCGGGGCAAACGCCAACGGCAAGGAGGGCCAGCTCGTGGACATTGAGCCCACGAACAGAAGCGAGGCGAATGCCAAGGGCGTCGTTGAGTTCGAGGGCTGATAGCGGTCCCGGCGTACGCGACGCCTGCGCGATAGGTCACAATAAAAACCCTCTTGAGACAAACGGGGTATTGGAATGGCGAAATGCATGATGTTGCCGGACTGGGACGACGCAGGGAACAACGCTTGGCCGGACGGGGGGGAGAGAGAGGAGGAGGGGCTGGGCTGGGCTGTTGGTGTTTGTCCTTTGACTGCGTGATAGAAGGTTTGTGGGAATTGGGATTATACCTGCCAACGTCTTATAACTAGGAGTACGTTTGGGATTGCGTTGCCTCTACGGCTAGATTACCAGGTCACCCGAAAGAAGATGCTGACCTATACAGGCCTGACTGTGTCAGAGCATCTTACTACGTGGTTCCAGAGAAAAACACCATGTGGCGTTCGTGCAGTGTGAACCGGCCTGAGGTCTGAGGGAGGTTTAGTCGACCCTGCCACGATGAAATCCCTCGTAGGCTTATTGTTACTGCTTGCTGCACCGAGACCAACGAAGACGGCGGTCTTTCGTCGCCAGGTTCACCATGCTGCCCAAGGCCCAACCTTCCCGGTCGGTTCCCAGTGATACCCGCGTTCGTCCGGACGTCAACCCAACGGCCCATCTCCGTCGATCGTTTCCCCCCTGTTCCCCCCACACTCATGGCGGTTGTTCCATCAGTCCACTCCCCGTCTCGTCTCTCGGGTAAGACCTCTCTCTGCTCTCGGCACGATGGCGGCTCGACAAGATTCCAACAACATTGCATGGGACCGAACCGATGACCTGTGGGATGAAGCGGTGAGGCAGATTCCTGTTTGTTATCCCACTGCCGGAAAACCATATCTTTTTGCCGAGGGGCATGCTAGGAGGGCCCGCAAAGTTAAGAGACACGCCGTTGATTGCTGGTGGCTTTAACGTTTTATATCCTATTCGACTTGAAGGCGCCTCTGGCGGCTTTCTTGTTTGGCTGCCTTGCCTTGCCCTAGCCAGGCCGTCTTCCCCGAAGAGAAGACACTTGCTGAAGTCGCGATGGCACGGTATATATTGCCTAACATACGTAGCTTTTAGGACTGAAGGTCTTCTACCACGGCGCTGACCCTATTGTTGGCCTGTTTGTGAACGTTCAAGACCTCGGGTCTTAGAAACCCCTGAGCTAGGCCCTGTTGACTCACTGCGAAGACCTTGACGAAATAGCTGGCTTGAAGCTAGATGTTTCTCAAAGCCAAGCTTAAGGATCTGTGTTTTAAGATGGAGTAGTGCGTGCTGTAGCTTGCACGACCTACCTTTCTGCGCATTGGAGCCCTTGTCCAGACAGGCCCTGGATCTCAATGCGTAATAGGACGGCCTATTATATTAAACATGAATAACATAGTATAGCTATCCAACGTCCCTGGTACAGTCTTTTTGGCTGAAGGCACTAGGTACTAGACATTTGACAAGTGGTGTAGCGCTAGCCAGGATGCAGATAGCGACGCTCCTCTTCCAGCACAACGATATGGTCTCTTTGGGGGACGACTGCAAGACCGAATAAGTCGCGCGTTAGCTGTTCCGCGGACTGTCCAAGCAGAGGACCTTGACGCTTTCTTCCCTGCGTGGCTGTGAAGCTTTCCCAATCCGACCTGTTCTAGTGTCGAGAGCTGCCTTCCCCCCTTCCGGTATCGCATGAAAAGAACTTGATACGACCCGCGACAACTAGTGTGCTGGGAGACCGGTTGGACTGGTTTGTAGACGAGGTCGTGTCTGCTTTTGAGTGTTAGGGAAGGGGGTAATGGCTGGTGTTTATATAAGTGAGCCACGGGTTTCGTTCCGTTCTAGAGACGGAGAGGAATGCTGAGTCCCTACCCCTCTCATCAAGGGATCCGAATCATTGCTGTTCGTACCATCACCTGTGCCGCAGAGATGCTGTCCCCCCCGCCCCTTCAGCCTCCCGGCGGCGCTTGCCCTCGTCGCCGCGGCGCCCTACAACACCTTTGAAGGCCCTGGGGCCCCCCGTCTGCAACGACGTGGCGGCGGTCCACAACTCGACCAGCGTGGATGACATCCTGTCCCTCATCCGGGACGACGGCGACGACGAGTGGCTCGCCGCCTCGACCTCTCCCGGCCTGCTGGGTGTCATAGTGAGGATAAAGTTCAGGATCTACCCCGACTTCAAGGTCTACGCGCAACAGAAGACGTGAGAGAGCGACGAGGCCTCCTCCCCTCTTTCACTGTCTGTCGCCGGCGAGGCGGGCCCGACTTCTTCGGGGGGGGGGGGGGGGGGGGGGGGGGGTGGTTCGCTGCTGACGTTTCTAAACAAGACCACAACCTCGCCAAGGTCCTCATGGACGAATTCCCGTGCTGCCCGCACTGGACCAAGAATACGAGAGAGGTCCTGGCCCAGCCGGCGAAGAACATTGACCCCGACGTGAATCCCCGCAGCCATCTCTGATCAGTCTACGTTGTCCCGCTGACGCAGGTTTTATTTATTCATTTATTTATTTTTATATAGCATATTGTACGATTCGAGGCTGTCACGGAACGGTTCGGTCTGAACGGAATCTTCAAGAACGTCGTCGACGAGGCCATTGATGTCTACTAGGGTACAGATACTAGACGGGACGTAGTTGAAGCTGCATCTCGGGAAGGACTCGCATCCTGTTTTTCTTTTCTTTTCTTTTCTTCTTCACGTCTATTATTCGCCTTCACACTGACTACTTGACTTGGTTACCTGGCCTGCTTTGCGTGTAATGAGGAACTCGCATAATGGTGCGGCAGAGGTGATAGCAGGAAACAGGTGAGCTTCTGGAGCTAACGTCCTTTCCCGGTCGTATTCATCTACAATGGATGGATGCAGCCCCTCCTCCGCACCTCGACTCTTGGAGCATCGTGAAACGGAATTAGGTCGTGCTCGCGGGGGTACATATGAGAAAAGTAGTGACTAACCCCATCGTGATTGGCGTGTGTCTTTACTCGGGCCTTTTTTAGGCGGGCATTCCTCGAAAGCGGAAAACGTTCAAGGTCTGCGACAACGCGCCACGCAACTATGACGTTCGAAGGGAAGGATTTTGAGACACGCCGACTAAATCCGACTTCTAGCATAGATGGGGGGAAGGCAGACAAAAGACATGAGGAGCGGAGCCCAGGAGAAGTCGAAGTCCCCGTCCCCGGACGTGGACTCGGGCGGGCCCCCCGGGCCGAATATACCGGCAGTCTCTCCCCTTCGGCGAGGAAGGCCCGGGTGAGAATAGAGTTGCCTCTGCAACAAACAGGGGGAGAAGGTCCGTGGAACCTAGAAAATCGAGGTATTCCCGATGGACTGATATTGTTCGGGTGGATGCGCAGACTCGCAGGACGGTGGTGTGCTTGCTTTGCATGTTTTGACACCAGACTAAAAAAAAAAAAAAAAAAAAATCTCTTCAAATGTTCATCTCACAAATGCGGCGGATGAAAGAAAAGAGTGAAACCTTAAAAACGCGGCCGGCCTCTCTGGCCGGTATCATGCTTCTGATTCTCTATCTACTCGCGCGCGGGGATGGGCTCTGCCCAGCCTCGGCGAGACGACGTTCGCCTTTTCCCATGTGAGCTGAGCTGGGTTATCATTTGCGACATCCTTCGCTTTCAACCTCGCCCTCCCCCCCCTCCCCCTTCCTAAACACTTTCGCTCACGCTCACGACTGGCGAAACCAGCGAGCTGAAGACGACGGGCTAGACTCGATTCCGCAAGCGATGCGGCTGGTACCGACCGCCCTGCCCTTTCCCGTCGTGAAACCCCGTCCGACGCGCGCGGTGCGTCGAGTCGTCCATCTTGGGACAGCAGCTCGCTCGTCTTTTACACGCGCGCACCAGGGGGGGGGGGAGGGGGGAGGGGATTGGAGCAGGCTTCCCTGTCGATGCCGAAGAGCAAACGCACATCCCGCTCCGAAGAAAGAAAAGGTTAACGTTTCCTCCCCTTTCGCGCTCGTCTGAAGGAGGGTCACCGTCGCGTGTTCGGGGTTTTGGGGGGGGGACGCTGCGAGAGGAAAAAAAGTTTCGATCTGGACCGCCCGCTTTCGTAACGAAAGGCGTGTCTGCCAGACCGGGACAAACCCGGTTCTTTTCAACATGTCCTCTTTTTCCTCCCCCCCCCCCCCCCCCCGCTTTCCCCCTCTGGGCGGAAAGACAGGCCAGTGTGCCGACGACGTCGGGTCAGGTCTGGCGGGAGAGCATCCTTTACCGTCATCCGACGAATTGGAGCCTCACAGTGTGCGCTATACTTGATTAAGCCCTTGATCAGCTAACCGGAGAGTTCTGCAACCCCAATTGACCTGTTGTAAGTCCCGTTATGCGTAAGACTCTGGTGATATCTAGCCTCCGTCGCTCAGACTCTCTTCGCAGGCGTCAGCTTCACCATGAGCGGGGGGGGGGAGGGGCTTATCCCACGTGAAACAGCACTTCTGCACCGCCCAGTCTTCCATCCCGGGACACATCTCCCGGTCGTAATGCCACAGGGTTTGCTCGGAAGCAGGCGGAGCTCAAGCCACGCCAGGCTATGTAGGGTGAGCATCGGCAAAAGGGGGAAGCCGAAAAAAAGAAAGAGGAAAAAAAAAAAGAATAATAGTGACTGAAATAGGGAAAGGATTTCCTCTCTGAGGCGAGACCTTACTCGATGGGAAACCCGCTGTGAAGCAGTGCTGCAACAGTACAGGGGAGGGGCCAAGGACACACTCACTAGGTCCTTTCCGATGCAGTTTCTCGGCCCGTACGAGAAGGGTTCGTGCACAATCCCGCTTGCCGTCCTTCCACTCCGGGTCCTCCGGGTGGAGCCACCGCTCCGGGATGAACTCGGTCGGCCGGGCTCAGTTGTTCGGGTACGTGAAGGCCACGTACGGGTTGAGGCAGACGAGCATCTGCGCGCAGTGTTTCAGATAGCCACTGCACACAAGCGCGCGCGCGCGAGATCGCCTTCCATTGAAAATAGGCACAAAAAAAAAAGGGGGGGGGGGAAACGGTCGCGGAACACTCACGCCTTCGGGGATCACGTCGCCGCAGATCCCCGCCCCACCCCTCGGGACGATCCTCGGCATCCTCGGTCCCCCCCGGGCTATACATCCGGGCGGTACATCCTCAGCCCCTCCATCAGCACCCTCCGCAGTTACGGCAGCCGGGCGAGCGCGTCGACGCTGGTGTCTTCGCTCCGCGCGAACCGGGTCTGGATCTCCTTCGTTCCGATTGCTGTCGCGGCCAGAGTTTTCACCGCCGAAGAAGTGGAGAGATCCTTGGGCATCTCGGACTTAAGGGGGCGGGCTCATTATGTCTTTCCATTCTTGCGCTGTCCGGGGCGAAGAGAGGCAGAGACAGAGTGTGCCGCTGGACGTAGGACAACTCTTTGGGAGCGACGTGGACGGTGCCGGGGCAAGGCCCTGTGGATCTTGCGCGCCTTGGGGGGGGGGGCGTAGGTGCCCATGAGCAGGTAGAGAGGTTTCTCGTCACCGGGCTGAACCGTCAGAGAAGCGGCTCCGGATAACGGCGCAGCGGGTGGAAGGAGACATTGTATATGCTATGTAGGAGGTATTGTGGGTGTCTTCAGTTCTGCGCCGCCTCCCCTCCCTCTCCAGCTGCTACCATGGTTTGGCAAACACAAATCTATATAGATAAAAGGCCAGCTCGCTGCGATGGAGAGCGACTGTCCGTAACCTAACGCCATCGTGTGGTTTTACGCGGTCGTCATTTTTCCTTCTTCTATGTTTTTCTTTTATTTAGCAAAGCTATCACAGTTTTGTGATACGAGAAGCGTAAACATGAACGTGTGAGCTACTCGAGAGTATCAACCCACGTCTATTGACCAAAGTCAGGCTGGGCCGAATACGAATTTCGACGCCGTGTTTGGGCGGCAGCGAAGGCCAGCGGTTTGCCTTGTTGGGCAAATTTGCAACGTCATCGCGCGAAGGTTTTGGGTTGGAGGAGACAGCACACGGTACGGTTCAAACCAAGACGGCTCGGTTGGTTTCATGAATCATCAGGCTGTTTGCCATGGTAGAATCGACACCTATCCGTTCGAGGGCCGGCTCGGAGCCGAGGTCGGGACCACTCGAGACCTGGATGATGTGCTCCAACTCTCGTCAGTCCTGACGATCGCCACGGTCCCGGCTGATGCAAGAAGAGATCCGACTTAACCGAATGTAATGGGCTTCAGTACGGGTCATGGATTCGCGCCGCGACTTTCCGGCAGCAAAAGTCAGAGGGCAGAAAGGTCGGGGGAGAGTCAGCGCCACCTTCATCACCTTAGCTTTATCGATAAGACGTGATCGCAAGCCCCCCCTCACCTCCTCTCCGCTCGCTGTTGAGCTCCTTGCAGCAGCATCTACGTCACGATGTGGTCCCTCTCCCTCGCATTCCTCGACTGTCTCTCTACGGCCCCCCTCCAATTCGTATTTCAACGGTGCCGCATTCCAGAAACGTTTGAGAGTGAACAGAAATAGAAAGCCAAAGAATCTACCAATACTCGGCGGATAGTAAGGTAAAAAGAAAGGGAAAAAAGGGGGAAAAAAAGTACTTGACGCAAGCAAACAAGCGGGGAAAACATGTCTCCAATTCTGATTGTTGGCGCCACTCGGGGCCTCGGGGCTTCCCTCACCAAGAAGTACGCCGCGAAAGCCGGCGATACGGTGTACGGCACGACGCGGTCCAAGGAAGGCCCAGAGGGCTTCCCGAAGAGCGTCAAATGGCTTCACGAAATCGACTTGACCAACGACAAAGTCGGCGAGGCCATCGTCAGCCAGCTGCGTGGTTCAGAGCCGTTGTCGGCGGTGGTATGTTTGTGGATTACACGCCGGATCTTGGCCAGCCCCGTCGTCTAACCACCCCGGTAGATCATCACGGCAGGCTATTTCGCGACCGAGGACTTCAGCGCCGACAAAGGCCCGAACTGGGCCGAAGAGCAGCGCATGTACACGACGAGTTCCATCGCACCCGTCTTCATCGTCCATGCGCTCGTGCACGCCGGGCTTCTCCAAAAGGACTCCAAGGTCGTGCTCGTCTCGTCCGAGTCCGGGAGCATCACCCTCCGACACGAGACGGAGGGGGGTGGCAACTACGCGCACCACGCGTCCAAGGCGGCTCTGAATATGGTGGGCAAGTTGCTGAGCCTCGACCTGAAAGAAAAGGGCGTCATTGTCAGCATCGTCCACCCGGGCTTCATGCGCACCGAGATGACCAAGGGCGTGGGCTTCGACAAGTACTGGGATGACGGCGGCGGTAAGTGCATTCGTGCTCGCTCTGGAAAGCCGTGGCGCCGGCCTGAGGGGGTGCATTGCTAACATCCGTGTGCTTGCAGCCGTCACGCCGGACGAAGCTGCTGAGAGTCTCATCGGCTGGACGTCACAGCTCGACATGTCCAAGACAGGCGAGTACTGGGCGCCGAGAGGGCCTGGTAAGTGGCCGACGTCCCGGTTCCACATTCGGGAGGACAAGACATTGACTGACACACCCCCGTCGCAGGCGACATTGGCACGGCCGAGCCGGTGCTCGGGAAGGGCCTCTCGACGCCGCTGCATCTTCCATGGTGATGGCTTGAAGAATGCTCTGGTCGGTGGTGGGTAGACGGAAATGCCGCTGCGGTATGCTGGGGAGGGGGTCTGGGAAGAACCAAGGCGGCCTAAGCCATGGGGCTGAGGGGCCATCTTTTAGAATTCGGACCGGGTGTTCCCTTTGAGAACCGGACAGGCAGGCTTCATGGGTGCTGAGTCGGGACGAGGCAATTCTGTTGTTGACAGGGACTCCAGCATGCATACCGCCCATTCACCTATACCGTACCGTGCCACACGCATAAGAAGCAACTTTGTCATCGTCGAGCACCCTGTGCCCCCGTCGACAATGATAGCGGCTGGACATTGTCGGGGGGGGAGACGGAGGGCGGTTCACGTGTGCAACTCTGCAAATGAGACAAACGATTCGCTTGATTGTCCACCCCCCCAGCAGTTCCCGCAGCCGTAGTGGAGGGAGGTTGAGCACCGACGTAGCCACTAGAGTGGCAGAGATGCTGTCTTCATACATCAAGCAGCAAAAGGAATAAGGAGACGCGACGGTGGCCGCGATCGCATGCTTCGCCGATGGTAGATCGACTGGCGATTCGCGGGTGACGTGGAAGATTTCCGTCGCGCAAATATGATCTTCTCGAGGAGTCGCTTGCCTCTTCACGCGGTTCCCCGGCTGGGGTTTCCCCTGCTCTCGTGGGTTTGCCGCAGCTATTAATATTAATCTAATTCCCGATGATCATCTGCCAATATAAGCAAGCTCCGTTATAAGTTTTTTCTTTTTTCCTTCTTCTCTCTTTTTCTAGCTTCAATGCTACCTACCAGCCTCTCTTGTCCATGAGAGCTCGCTTACGTTTCAGATTGGCGACGTGAGTCTGGGATGACGCTGCTTCCGCCTTCTTGTTCTACGAGACATCGTGACGACGACAGCGGCTCCTCGACTCCATTACGAAGTGTGTATGAGATGGAGAGACTCACCACTAAGAACAAAGGAGGAAGGGGGAGGCGTCGGTGCCAGAAATGCGTCATACCATCAATGTCTCATCGGCAAACGAGCATCTTCGAGTGCCAAGCGCCTAAAGGCATTTGTTGGTTGCCTCATCCAGGTACGGAGCCTTCGTGCTGCCGCTTCCTTGCCACCTTGCGTCTGCGTACGCGTTGCTAGCTAGCTAGCTAGCTAAAGAGTCAATTGGTATGCTAGGAGGGATGGGGGAGTTTGACGACTGGCTGGTCCAGATCAGATCGTCCGAGGCTGAGATCGGAGGGCCTCTCCCTCGTTGGGTGGGAGCACCCAGTGCGCGTTTGGTTTCCCTGTCCGAAGCTTGGCAACTCCGATCGGTAACTGGTTTCCACGCTTGTTGCTCAATGAGTGTCAAGACGGAGCAGGCATCGTTCCTCATCACGCAATCATCACGCGCAGACGGGGTCTGTGTCCTTTGGGCGGGCGAGGAGAGTAGCGGCTGTTTGCGCTCGGTTGGCAGCTGAGATCGAGCGACCAAGTGAAGTTATCCGATACAGAGCAGTTATTGGGCGCCACCGAGAAGACCGGGCTAGCTGACATGGACGGGTGTAGCGTAGATGGCGCATCGAGGCTGAAGGCCATGAACGAGAGCGCTTTGGAGGAAAAGCGCTGCCGCTGCTGGCTGCTTTCCCATGCTTCCCTGTCGCAATGAGCAGCTGGGGGGGGAGCCCAACACGAGGTTGCAGTCCAGCATTTGAGAGGGCGGGCGACGAACCAGGATCCCCTGTTATCTTTCGATTCTCGTCATCTTCCAATTGTCAAGTACTGAAGGTACTAGGGGAACAGGGCAGGCGTAGAGCCCCATCTCTCATATTGATTTCCAGTGAGAAGAGTGGTGTGAGTAACAGCTGATGGCCGAGTCCTCAAGTAAATCTCAGACCCGAAGACCAAAGGGGGGGAGAAGAACTGAAGAAGTAAATAAGGATCAAAAGGCCGTGGGTCCAAGTGGAGGGAACGTATATGTACATGTCCGACAAGCCTGATCTTGATTGATGTCAGGTACATACCGTAAGGCAGTAAGTAGTATCTAGTTTAACCGGACGGCGAGCCAAAGGTAGCGCGGTATAAGGAAGAGGACTCGTCGGTTGTAGCCGGTGTGTGCATACACACGCAGGGTACTATGTATGGTGCTCTATGCAACAGGCAGACACGGCTATGTGGCCCTGGGAGGATGTAAGTAATGCATCTTCAACCAGATGGCGCGTGGGCCGAACGAGGGTTTCTCCTCTACGGATTTCCGCGTCGTCGTCGTTTGCGAACCCATGGGGATTGGAATGAAATGTCGGAAGGCTGGTGATGCAGCAGGTAATACCAGCAACTGGTGACCTGCCAAGTTTCAGGGGGTCGTCTTATTTTGCGGAGTTGCATTGGAAGCGAGGATCTAGGCGCATAGTACCATGTCACTTGACCGTCGACGAAGTTGGTGAGCTGCAGGCTGCAGAACATGGGGCTTTGGTAGAGGGAGGGTATCGTCTGTTCTGCACACTACCACGTAGTACACTGCGCACGTGGGGGCATAGTGTACATACGGTAGAGTGATCACGGGATCCTCAAGGGTCCTGGGGTGGTGGGCGTTGTCGGTGCGTCTCGTTGGCAACCCTCGGTTAGCCGAGGACCATCACTCCCGCGTTGGTCAAGGCTAGTGTTTTCCAAGACCCCATGCCGCGATACTCGTTCGAGCGTAGAGCGACGGTGGATGGATATCCTTACCATCTGTAAGCCGAATTTGGTCCGACACAAGAGAGATTGCGCGACAGGCGACAGGCTTCTGGCCGCGGCAAGAGACTTGATTCAGCTAGCCGCCAAGCGGTAAAGGCAAGCCCAGGATATCTCAGGTATCGTAACCAAGGTGTGTCGAAGCATCAGTGACAAAGAGAGAGAGAGAGAGAGAGAGAGAGAGAGAGAGAGAGAGAGAGAGAGAGAGAGAGAGAGAGAGAGAGAGAGAGAGAGAGAGAGAGAGCTTGGAAGGCGTTGCCATGACTGCCACCCATCACCACCACCCGATTACCAGGCGCTATGCAGCCACAAACAAAAGCCAAGAGGCACTGTGCTGGAGGAGGCGGCGACGGCGGCGTCCGGTCGGCAACAGTGTCGGGCAGGCGATGTCCAAATCCTCGGGATCGGAGTAAGGGCGAATACCAATGCGAGTGAGGTGTAGCGTATTCGTAGAGATATAGAGGTGGAATTAGGCCCGGTCGGGTTGGATCGAGGTCGAGGTGGGTGGATGGATGTGCGAGGTCGAAATTGGGTGGTGGCCCAGGCCAGATGCATCACCC